GTTCTATCCCTGGAGCCAGTTATAACCTTGGAGGAAGAAGGCGACTGCAGATCCTGCCCACACTGGGCTGCCCCTCCTCCCCCCCACACCCACCCACCCGGGAGCTTCGAGGGTCCCCCCACTCACATGCTTGACGACGGGGCTGTCTGGGGGGGGCTGCGAGTCCTCGGGGGGGGCGCCGGCCCGCAGCAGGGTGCTCAGACACGCCTCCAGCTGGGCATGCAGGAAATTGTTGTAGGTGTATTTGAAATACAGGTCCTGGGCGAGAGAGAGAGAGAGAGAGAGGGAGCTCGGGGCAGCGTTTGCAAGGGACACCGGGCACCAACCTGGCCATGGTGCCGAGCCGCTGGGGGCTGGGTACACGGGGACCCCTCGCCCGGGGCTAGGACGCAGCCCCTCTGAGATGGGGCGGCTGGGTACACGGGGACCCCTCGCCTGGTGCTGGGATGCAGCCCCTCTGGGGTGGGGGCTGGTGGTAGAGCTGGTCGCTTTGGGACAGGAAGTGAAGCAATCTCCTTCCCAGATCTGGGATTGGAGCTGGACTCCAGGGGTTGTGCCCTGGTCTCGTCTTTTAACCATGGGGCAGAAAACAAAGCAAACCCGTCCCCTCAGAAACCTCCTGCACCATCCGTTCCCGTCGCCAGGCAGGCCGAGCGCTGAAGATACCGGGCTAAATGGGCCCGTGGCTCTGACCCGGCGCGGGATGGAGGGGGCAGGACCCCAGGGCCGATGGGCCCCTGGCTCTGACTGGCGCGGGATGGAGGGGGCAGGACCCCAGGGCCGATGGGCCCCTGGCTCTGACCCGGCGCGGGATGGAGGGGGCAGGACCCCAGGGCCGATGGCCCCCTGGTCTGACTTCCATGATGTTGGTCCCGCCCCGTTACCCTCCCATTGGCTGAGCCCCACCCCCGGCACTCACCAGCATGGTGTTGAGGGCATCCAAGCCCAGCAGCTCCTCCTGCAGCCCCGCGTCGCCGGCGCCCAGCGAGCTGCCCAGCAGCCTCACCACCTGCAGCCGCGTGTTCCCCAGCGGCGGGTCCAGCAGCCCCCACGTCATCTGCAGGGCCGGCCGCTGTGGGGAGCAGCGGTTAGCACAGCCGAGAGAACCCAGGCATCCGGGCAGCCGCACCCGACCCCCTCCCAGAGCCAGGGACAGAACCCAGGAGTCCTGGCTCCCAGCCCCCCCTGCTCTAACCACTAGCCCCCACTCCCCTCCCAGAGCCAGGGACAGAACCCAGGAGTCCTGGCTCCCAGCCCCCCCCGCTCTAACCACTAGCCCCCACTCCCCTCCCAGAGCCAGGGACGGGAGTCCGGGGGCCCATTACCTTCGGGGGGTCGATCAGCAGCTGGTGGAAGTCCCGGAGGTAACCTCTGAGGGCCAGCAAGGTGCTGGGGCTGGCCTGGCAGGCGCTGCCGTCCGAGCCCAGAGGCCCCAGCTCCAGCTGCCCTTCCAGGGGGCAGTAAAAGCTGCCCATCCCCCCGGCCTCGGACCTGCAGGGGGCAGAGCGAGGGGTGAGCGCGGGCGGGGCGGCCGGCTAGCCCCGCCCCCTCCCGCCAGCTCCGCCCCCTCACCTGGCTCGGCGCGGCTCCAGCAGCGTCAGCAGCACCTGGATCCCGCTGACGATGACGGACTCGTCCCGCTCGCCCGCCAGCATGTTCCCCAGCAACTGCTCCACCGTCTCCTGCCTGCGGGGGGGCCCAAACACCCCGCCCCCACCCCAGTCAGGGGGGCCGGCCGAGGGGATCCCCGGGTCCCCGACGCCTGGCTGGGGGGTCCCCAAACCCCCCCCCCCCCCCCCCGGCGGGGGGGGCCGGCCGAGGGGATCCCCAGGTCCGCGACGCCTGGCTGGGGGGTCCCCAAACACCCCATCCCCTGGGGACCCAGCCCTGCCCCCCGCCCCAGAGGGGCCACGTCTCAGCACTGGGTGAGGGTCCTTGGCTCATGGTCTGGGAGCTTCGTGCTTCTGCTTCGCCATCGTTAACTTGGGTTGATACTGGGAGGGCCGGGACGCCACCCCCCATCCAAGGGGGCCCTGGGCTCCCCCCTCCCCCAGGTCTGCCGGTGCCCCTCACTCCCGACCCGCAGCCCCCTGCTAGCCCAGCCATGGGCTGCCCCCTCCCCCAGCCCCGCCGGTGCCCCTCACTCCCGACCCGCAGCCCCACACTCACTTCTCCAGCGTGGCCAGCAGCTGGTCAGGTTCGGGGCTGTCCTGAATCTGCATCATCTGCTCCCGGCTCAGTCGGATGATGTCACACAGGGACTGGGCGGCATTGGAATGTTGCTGGGGTGGGGGGGGAAGAGACCCAGTTACCGGGGCGATGGGAAAGGCGGGGCCAAGTAGTGAGAGGCGGGGCCAGTCCCTCTGCCCACGCCCCATCGGAGCTGCTGGCTTAGAGGAACGGACCCCCATCGCCAGTAAGGGCTGGTGGCAGCGGGAGCCAGGACTCCTGGGTTCTCTCCCCGGCTCTGGGAGGGAAGTGGGGTCTAGTGGTTAGAGCGGGGGAGGCTGGGAGCCAGGACTCCTGGGTTCTCTCCTGGCTCTGGGAGGGGAGTGGGGTCTAGTGGTTAGAGCAGGGGGGCTGGGAGCTCCCCTCCCATAGCTGTCCCCCCCCCCATGTTCCGCCCCCCAAGGCGCAGGCCGTACAGAGCCGCTCACATTGTCGTCTTTTGAAGGGTGAATCATCTCGATCAGTCTCTGCACGATCTTCTCCTCGTTCAGCCACTGTGAAGGGAACAGCACGTCTCGGTGCCCCTCACTCCCGACCCGCAGCCCCTGCTAGCCCAGCCCTGGGCTCCCCCCTCTCCCCCCAGCTCTGCCTGTGCTCCTCACTCCCGACTCGCAGGACCCCTGCCCTGGGCTCCCCCCCAGCTCTGCCAGTGCCCCCCCCATGAGTTAGTTATGGGGCTGGGTAACCCCTGGCTCAGCCTGGCTGGAAGCTGTGACTTTCTCCCTGCCGGGGGGCAGCAAACAGGACAGGCCGTGGGGGGGTGGGGATGGCACCGAGGCAGTTTCTACCAATGGAGTGCCCTGCTGAGATAGCCCTGGAGTAGCCAATGAGGCGGGGGGCAGGATGTGGGGCTGGGCACAGGGCAGCAAGTGAGAAGGAGCGGGGGCCCCGGCAGACAAAAAGGGGCGGAGCCAGCAGGCACGAAGGGGCGGGGCAGTGGGTGCCTAGAGGCGGGGCCAGCAGGCACGAAGGGGCGAGGCAGTGGGTGTCCAGGGGCGGGGCCAGCGGGAAGCCCCGCCCTTACGTTGAAGACATCCTGGCGCAGCACCGGCTGCTCCACGCAGGTCAGCAGGCGTAGCAGCAGGTCCATGATGGCCGAGGTGCCGATGTGCCGCAGCAGCAGGCTCACGAAATCGTCCTTCTTGCGCAGGAAGGCCACAATCTGCAAGGTCCGGGCCAGCCCCCGTTAGCCTGGGGAACTCCCCACCACCGGGGCCAGCCCAGCTTCGGGGCCGGAGCTGCCTCGGGCCGATGAGGCGGGAACAGGCAGCCGGGACGCCAGGCTAGATGGGCAGAGGTGCCGCAGTGATTGGGAGGGGGCGGGGGTCCGGATGAGCCCGTCCCCCTCTGCAAGCGGCAGTGAGGGTCTCACTCACAAGAGCAGTGGCACAGGTCCGAGGGGCATAACCCTGGGCCCGTCTAGCCCGGTCTCCCGCCTGCGCCAGCTGCTTCGGGCGGGGGGGGTGTGCTACGGAGAAGGGCCACCCCCTCCACAGCTCAAAGGGGGCCAGCTACGGCCAGGCTATTAGTGGGATTATGGTAACACCCCCCCACACCCCCCCACACACATCCCGGCTGGGATCGGGGGCCCATCGGGCCAGGCGCTGCACAGAGGTGGCGTGACAGCCAGTCCTGGCCCCAAGAGCTGGCAGGCGGAAGGGAAACCGAGGCAGGGGGAGGCTGGGGCTGGCCGCCCGGCGCACCTGGTCTGTCTTGCGGTTGATGAGGATGCCCATGACCTTGCTGAAGAAGCTGGCCAGCAGCGGGTTCAGGACCCCGTGGCCCTGCAGGAAGCCGTAGAGACGCCGCAGCAGCCCCTCGTCCTCGCCCAGCGCGTCCGTGATGGGGCTCACGTCCGACGTCAGGATCTCGCACGACACGCTGGGGTACCTGCGGGGGAGGGGACATGAGCACCCGCAGCCTCCTGCTAGCCCAGCCCTGCCCCCCCAGGCCTGCCGGTGCCCCTCACTCCCGACCCGCAGCCCCTCACTTGTAGCGCAGCCGCTCGTCCAGCTCGGCAGGGGGCTCCTCGGTCACGCAGGTCACCAGCGCCTCCATGTGCTGCGGCTGCACCAGGAAGTCCAGCAGCCGGCGGTTCACCACCTTGCACTCCTGCAGCACATCGTCCTCATCCAGCAGCTCCCGCAGCGTCAGGTCGGCGCGCTCCAGCAGCGTCTCGATGTGCGAGCTGGAGTGCAGGTCAAACTTCCAGAACATGGCGCCCTGCAGGGGGGGGATGGAAGGGGGGGGTCAGCGGCCACAGATCCCCCACAGCACGGACGGCGAACGAACTCCAGGCTCGGGGAGGCTAGTCCCCAGCCCGGACCACCCCTTCTGCCCAAGGCCCCACCC